AATAATTACTTTTTGATTATTCAAAATAACATTAACCTTGATTCTTAATGCTTATTCGAAAATTTATTAGATCTAACTTTATGCTATCTTTCTAGATTCACACTTATTAGATTAGAGCTCTTAACCCCGCACCATTGATTCGTATTCCCTAATATGTTAACAACTTGTCGATTCTATAGAGTTAATAGCCACTTTATTTACATGGTGAGCCGATGCTAATATCAATTATTAAACTAACACTATTAAACCTATATTGAAACAAGGAATTCAAATGAGAAAGTCATTAATGGTTAATCCATTGGCATTAACTAACGTGATATGAAATTTGCTCGACATATGCGCTGAAATCAAACTGAATCGGGCCATGGCAAAACAGTTCGAAGATCCAACGGGATACATACAAATGTCTGTTAACATTCTATATTATGTTATCATTACCAAAAAAAACTAAATTGTTAAAAACACATGGACATATGTCTAACCAATATAACAACATACTACTTAATAGTCCATGTTGGTTCAAATACACCCCAATTTAAAAAACAAATACGATTAGAATGAATCCAAGCAAATACGAACCAAGTGAATTATTTTAATCCTATTGCTACATTTGAGACACAGTCATTGTGATAGTAGGTGAATGATTCATTTCTTTGTTTACTTCAAACTCAAACTTCCAATTTAAACATACATTAGTCCATGTTTCAGAAGCGTGTACCTGGAAATGCTTACAAATGAAGAGGAAGATGGAAGCAGAAAGTCAGCAACAACTCAAATGGCAGAAGTGACCACAAATAAACAGCAACGAACAGCAGCAGTAGAAACAAATAACAGCAGGACCAATTCCAGTGCAAGAATACAACTATAACCGATGGAAAGTAGTAGCAAAAAAATGACAGCAGCAAACAGTAGAGTAGAATCAAGACTCCAGATGGACAAACCCAGAAACAAACTAATGATACAAGCACCCAGTACACCCAGTTGGAACTTGGAAATACCACTGTTAATCAATAGGTCAAAAGGTGAAATCAAGACAACAATGGGAAAAACAGTTTCTAATTTTTGTCTGTGTGTTTTCTATCTCTCCTCCTCTGTCTATATGTGTATCTCCTCTCTGTGTATGTCCCTCTATTTATCCCCTATCAGACCACTTTTAAAAGCCTCTCAGACAAACTGAAACCCCCTCCCATGTGGCCTCTTCTGTTTTTCCACCCACCATTTTAAAAGAAAAGATAGCCCATAAGATTCCTCTGACAGACCCCCTTCTCTTATTAAAATGGTTTATCATTTTAATAGTTTGAACAGGTATGGGCAGCAGGGGTGTGTTCTGACAGCACATGCTGTCCATTTTACTCTGAATCCTTAGCAACTGATAAAACACATGTTGCCCAAAACTTAAACCAGGCGAACATGCTATCAATTTAAACCAAAGTCTGAAGTCTAACCTAGACTGCAGCTAATAGATTAATTCTTAAATGCTAAACAGACTAACACACAATGATAGTCAATTCTCAGTTATTTTACCCATGTCTCAGTAAATCAAATTAGATAGCATGAGTCAAATTATCACCATTCAAGGCTGAACTAATTGACGACGCGTATCGAATCGACTATACTAATTATAATATAGAAGAAACAATCGATCAAACAAACACAAATAGGGCATAGACTATTTCTTGACCATTTTGCACGATACAGGGAAAAACCAGGCATTATTGATTCGACGACGTTAATCATATTGAAATATGTATACTACTATACGAATTCAACATAACAGAATAAACAAACGACCAAATAAAAGGTCTTATGAAGATGGGGAAACAAACTGACAACAGAAATCCCAAAAATAGACAAACAAACTAAATAAACATGCTGATAAATTAATCTAAACTAAATAGATAACAAAAAGGGAATAGTGAACAAACCAGAAAAGTTTTAACACGGATGACCCAGGCCCGAGCTTGATTTGCCCATTTGAGGTCGGACAAATCCTAACCGAGGTGTTCTCGAACGAAAACACTTCGATTAGGATCTACTAGACCCCAAAATTTTGTTTAAATTCAAACAGACTCCACAAATTCTTGTGTTCTAGGGTTCGATTTTTTCAGATTTGGGGTTTTGGGATTTGTGGGTAGATTCGGACCAAACCAAGCCTGGTTTGGTCACGAGGGAGGTCAGGGGAGTGTCTAGTGTGAATCTGGGGTGGGTTGGTGTAGATCGAGGTTTTGCTCGAATCTTCAAATGAAGATTCGAGAACCTAGGGGTTGATTCGAACTAAACGGTTGGTGGATTTGGGTTCAGGGTGATTGAGTGGTCTTAGGGTGTTAATCTAGGGGTCACCGGTGTTGTTGCCGCCGGGTTTACAGTGAGGGGGAAAGGGGACGGCGCTAGGGTTCTAAGGGATTTGGGGTCGGGTGAAGGAGATGAGGATGAGGGAGGGGGTGCTTGGATAGGGGGCGAGGTACTAGATGATGGCTTTTATACGGGGTGGATGGTTGGGTATTGGCCGTTAGATCACTCGAGATCAACGGCCTGGATCCAAGGGTTAATCCAAACGGTGTCGTTTGGTTTAGTATTGGGGTCGGGGTTGGTCCGGGTAATTGGTCGGGTAATGGGGTTATGGGTGAGTGATCTGGACCGTCAATCTAGTGAGATTAACGGTCCAGATTGAAGGCGACACAACGACGTCGTTTGGACGGTCATGTGGCCAGCTTAATTAGACCGGGCAACAAGGGGTTTTGGATTGGGTTGTTTTGGTTTGGGCCTGTTCATTCTAGCCCAATCCGAAAATCCTTTTCTTCTTTAATTTTTTTTTAATTTCTCAATTAAATTGTCAAATAACACTATACAAACATTAAACAACAATTATCACACATATTAACATAACATCACTTAATGACGAAAAATAAAATAAAAAAAAGATGCATTTTTGTGATTTTCCTTTTAAATAGCCGGATTATGGTTCGATTAATTCCTAATAGTAGAATGATATCCTAAACTCACACACGACATATATTGTTTTTGTATTTTTGTTGGATAAGACTAAATAGACACGGACAATGCCACAAATAGCTAACAAAAATGCCACGTAAATTCCAAAAATTGTACGGCAAAGCCATTTGTTATTATTTTGATTTATTTTGGAGTAATTGTCGTGTAAACAAAAATCACGTGCTCACAATAATCAATCAGGCCCTCGGCCTCACATAACAACAAGCCACCTCGTGGCATAAATTAATCAGGCCCTCAGCCTCACAATATCATGAATCAGTACAACATGCTGCGACGCGCAGCCCGATCCTATACTATCTTCACAACACAGGCCGTCTACCTCACTCAGTCAGAATCCTCTCAAGCCACTCGGGTAACAGTAAAACAGAATACTCAGCCTAAAATATCATTTAAAGTATCAAAACGGAGTAAATACGGCTGAGTTATGAAATTAGTAAAATATAGCATGACTGAGTACAGATATTAAGTCAAAACAGTGAGGACTAGTAATAAAAAGCCCCTAAGGGTCCAAAACATTTGGCACGAGGCCCAAAATATGGTATTCAGCTCAAAACATAGTAATACTTTCCAAAACGCAATGATATCAAACACTTTTCAATCAAGTACATGACTTAATAGTCATACGGGACAGACCAAGTCATGATCCCCAACGGTGCACGAACCCACGCTCGTCATCTAGAGTATGCATCACCTCAGAGTAGCACTACGATGTGAAATTCGGGGTTTTATACCCTTAGAACACCATTTACAATCATTACTTACCTCAAACCGGTCCAAACCCTTGCCTCTTGAATCGGCCTCCAAATGCTCCAAATCTAACTAAAATCAGTATATTATCATCAATATACACTAAAGGAACAAAACCCAAGCGAAAATAATCAAATTAACTCAAGAATCCCGAAATTGCTCAAACCCAGCCCCCAGGCCCACGTCTCGGAATCCGATCAAAGTTTCAAAACCTGACAACCCATTCAATTACGAGACTATCCGTACTAGTTTCACTCAATTCCGACTCCGAATCGGCTTTCAAATCCCCCATATTAATTTTATGAAGTTCCACAATTTCCCCCCAAATTTTCACCCCAAATCTCTACTCAAATGATGAATCCAACATTATAATGTTGTATTTTAGCCAAAATTGAGTTAGAATCACTTACTCCGATGGTTTTCTTGAAAATCCCTCGAAAAATCACCAAAGCCCGAGGTCTCTAGGTCAAAATACGAAATAAAATCCCAAATCTCATATTTATAGTGTACCTTTCGGATTCCCATCATCGTTGACCATGGATTTACCGCTGACCGCGCTTCTGGTGGCTGCACAAATAGGCCTTAGTATTTTGGCCATAACTTTCTCTACAGATGTTCAAATTATGATTTCGTTACCTTTATGGAAACTAGATATGAAGGTATACAACTTTCATTTTTGAATCATCTCAAAATTTCTTGTAGATCAAAAGATATAGGCTTTCGAACACTACTAGAAAATAAGCCTAAGGCAACGCCATACGTTCCGTTGCAATAGTAAAAAAAATCCGTTGCGATAAAGATAGTGCCACGGTTTAGCGTCTGTTGCGGGAACTTGCATCGCTATTGGTCTATTGTAACATCTTTAAGCAACGGTTTCATAACCGTTGCCATAGGAACATCTACTGCGACGTTTTATCATGATCAAATCCAACGATTAATAGTGAGTTATGGCAACGGTTTTGAACCGCCACTATTTGTGTATTGCGACGACTGAGAACCATTGCTATAGACATTATAACATTTTATATATTGTTTTGTTTTACCTGTTGGAATGGTTATTACATGTTGATACAATGGTTATGCTGAGCTACTGCAACAGTTATGCTGAGCTACTGTGACTACTGTTGGAAGCTATTAACGGTATCACAACAAGATAAATGTTTAATACACTGAAATTAATATATAACTGATGAAATATATTCATCAACAGAATCATAATTGAAAATATACACCTACGATTATCCATTTATAAAAGTAAAATATACGATAAAAATGTTTAATAATCCAAGAGTTGGAATACATAAGTTTGCAAAATAGTTCAAAAATAAAAACATTCCTAGATTGTCTGAAGATTCTTCAACCAATACTTTTAGGTAAGGTCTTCACAGCTTTCATCTCCCCCTTGATCATTTGGTTCACCTATAAATTCAACAAGAACAAAAATAGTTAGAGGGTAGGAAAAAAAATATTGCCTTCTCAATATCATTATTATTGCACTATATATTAACACCAATAAAATAATATAAGTACTTAGAAGACAAAACAAAAAATAAAATTAGCATTGCCACTTCAGAAATCAAGCTACAAAAAAGAACCAGAAGTCCAAGTATGCAAAATGTTACACCAAAAAAAAGTCACCCTCAAAATGTTACACCAAAAGAAGTCCAAGTATGCAAAATATATTATAAAGGAGGGCAAGGATCTTGAGACTTATTTAGACAAGTACTGGGCTCCTCACCCTCAAACTAGTGTATTTGTCCACCAACCCATCACACTGGTTTCAAAATCATGCTTGCCACTGCTACTTTACATTCTATATTGGAGAATAGGTACTTAGCTTTTTTACTTAGAAATATGAAAGAGGGTATAATGTGCACCAGCAGAAACTGAAGGAAATGTGCACCACATTACTAGCATCATGATTTCATACACCAGGGTAGCAATAATATCTACAAAATTACGCACCACAACACCAAAATTTCAGTAGCACAAAATGAAACATTAGTAGATCAATTGCAGTAGGTTGCCATGTGTCTATTAAGTACATATTCAAGATCAAAAAGCGAGAAATTATTGTACGCGATGCCAGTGGGTTTCGTCACTTCAAAGATGGTTGTTGTTCTTGTGGAGATTTGGTGACAATCTGACTGTAGGTAATGGTCACTCCCCCTTTTCTCATATCGAGACTGTTTATGAACCCTTATTTCCTCTGTTAGATGTAACAATATTCAAACCTTGAAATGTTCACAAAAATTAAAAAATTTATTTATTTTCATTCATATTGAAAAGTGAATACAGTATTTCTCTGAATACCATGTGTCCAAATGTATTTACATATATGTTTTCCGACCCCATTTTATTTTCCTTTAGTTTGATTTATCCTTCAGAGCAACCAGATTTCTCCAGGAAAAGAATGAGTTCTTTTATTTCTTTTTTTTTCCTGGTAAAGATGCTTTACTACTATAATGTAGTTACTAGTTTCTCCAAATATATGAAACTAAGTCAGAATTCTCCACATACAGATTGATTGTCTGATTGATATGCGCCAATCCATCAACATATATGTAGTTAGTGGAATTGTAAGAGTTAGTCAATTATACAAACTCAATTGATTAATTAATGCTTCAATTCCAAGTTAGTGGAATTGTTAGAGTTAGTCAATTATACAAACTCAATCGATTAATTAATGCTTCAATTCCAAATCAGTCAGGTTAAGTCATTTATACTAATTGAGATTGAGGTCGCAACTCTCCATTCTGAATTATGGAAGGTAAAGTTAGCAGTATAAGGACAACTAAAACTATGTCAGAAAAAGATACAAGTCTGGGAATTCCTAGAACATAGGGCAGTCGACTAGGCAACTTTGGCAATCTTTTTTCGAAGGAGCTAAACCAATCTGGAATTGCTGTTAATACGACATGAAAATAGGATAACAAGAGAAGATTATCATATTGGGACATCAACAAATAACAGTAGGATATCAGGCAGAATTGATCGCCAAAGCAGTGTAAAGCTAAGGTACGGGCCAGTGCCATTTTTGCAAAAAATGGGTTATTTGGGTAAGAAGCAAACCAGTACAGGAATTTCAAGCAATAATGGGCTTCAGTCATATGGCTCTGTTATTGAGAAATCAGTCTATGTTTCTAAGAGATACAAATTGTGCACACAACAAAGAGGAAAAGAGAGACCAGTCTCTGTTTCTGAGAAATCGATCTCTGTTTTTTAGTGATACAGATTGTGCACATAACCAATTTATAACTAATATCAAAAAGAAATCAAACCTTGATTGTTGCTGCCAAAAGATGGCCTGTTGATTGGTTGAATAGCTACTTATTGTGCAGACGAAGCTTCTCTTGGTGAACGAGCACACAAGTTTGCTAAAATATTAGGATCAATTTGCAATCCTGAACGCTGAAGCTGTACAAAGATATCTCCTAGAATTTCTTGTCGCATCATTCTCTTTTGTTCCTCATATTGTTCCTTCTGTTTCTCAAATTGTTCCTTCTGTTCCTCGAACATTATTGTCATCCTTTCTTCCATTTGTTGCACCATATCATTTGTAGCATTTGAAGAGGATTCAAAATATCTCACTTTTCCTGTCAAAGAAGTTCTTCTAACCCCTCGTCCATCGTATGAAATCGGTATCTATTGATGAAATATCCAGTATATCTTTTTGCAACTATATTAGGCCCTTTAGCTAGCCATCGTAAATGATTTGGCACTTCAACAGTTTTAACTTTCTCTTTGAACCAGTTGCCGAATTCCTGACTATGATTTCATGCTTTAATCCATGCATTTGATCTTGTTTTATTATCAATTAAACTCTTATATTCCCTGCAAACATGAATATTTTAGATTCATATATTAGGCCTTTATGAATAAAGTATAAATTATCATATCATATAAATAAATTAATAAAGTTTATAATAAAAATGATAATTATCTTACTGGATAAACATCTCCATTTGTTCATCTCCGATATTGAACAGAACATATCGATGTGCTTCAAAACATAATTGTAAACCCATGATAAATGCATTGCCTTTGTTTTTCTTCTGACGTCCGATTGGATGGCCTATCTTAGGGAATATAGGTGACATATCATCTCCCTCTGTTTCAACCCCTTCATCATCTTCTGTTTGTTACCTGCTAAATCTTGTTTTCACCTCATCATGTAGGTATCTCGAACAAAAGGTCAAACACTCTTCGGCCAAATATCCCTCCGCTATTGACGCTTATGGATGATATCAGTTACGAACAAATGCCTTATACTTACACAGATTTCTCTCAATAGAATACATCCAACGTAAATGAGTCAGACCTCCAAGCTTAATTTCATCTACTAAATAGATAGGCAAATGTTCCATTATGTCAAAAAAAGTTGGAGGAAAGATCTTTTCAAGGTCACATTCAATTTCATTGATTTCAGATTGCATTTTATCAAGGTCTCTTCGCCTTATAACCTTGCTACATATGGCTCTAAGGAAGTTCCCCAACCTAATCAAGACCAAAGAAACATTCTTGGGCAACACTTTTCTAACTGCAACCTGGAGCAAGTAATGCATGATAAAATGAGCATCATGACTCTTGTACCCTAATACTTTCATTTCCTCCACTTCCACACGTCGTGATATATTTTACCCACACCCATTTGGTAATTTCACATTTTTTAAAACAGTGCAAAACAACTTTTTCTCTTCTGGTTTCATGGAGAAACAAGCTTTAGCCAAATAAACTTTTTTATTATCCTTATTTTTTAATGGTTGAAGCTCTTTTCGTATCCCCATCTCTTCCAAGTCATAGCGAGAATTTACATGATTTTTTTACTTTCCAGGCATATCCAATAAAGTACCAAGCAAACTATCACATATGTTCTTCTCGATGTACATTACATCAAGATTGTGTCTCAATTTGTTATGTGCCCAATACGATAATTCAAAAAAGATTAATTTTTTCATCCATGGACCCTCATTACCCCGACGCCATTTCTTTTGACCCTTTCCGAAGACATGATTAAATTCACCCAATTCTTCTGACACATCTACACCTGACAAGGGAGTAGGTGTTGTTCTATGATCCTCTTTACCATCAAATGATTACTTATCTCTTCAAAATGGATGATTAGGAGGCAAAAATGCCCGATGACCCAAGTAACACATCTTACGACTATGTTTGAGATACTGAGAACATGTGTCATAATTACAAGTCGGGCATGCCAGTCTCCCCTTGGTGCTCCATCCGAAAAACATTGCTAGTGCTGGAAAATCACTAACTGTCCACAACAAGGCTGCACACATTTGAACGTTTGGCCAGATTTAGCATCATATGTTTCTACCCTTGTTTCCCATAGTTCCTTCAATTCAGCAATTAGTGGTTGTAAGTATACATCTATATTATTTCCTGGTGAAGAAGGACCTGGAATAATCATTGATAACATTATATACTCTGGCTTCAAGCAAATCCATAGTGATAAATTATAGTTCATTAGCATAACAGGCCATGTACTATGGGAAATGCTCATGGTTCGAAACGAGTTAAAACCATCACTTGAAAGACTCAATCTAACATTACGAGGATCCCGAGAAATCCTTGTGCAAGAAATCAAAATTCTTCCATGCTTCCTCATCAGCAGGATGTCTTAAATTCCCATCATTGAGTCGTTCAGTAGCATGTCATCTCATAGCTGTAGCTGTTTAAGAGCACATGAATATCCTCTGAAGCCTAGGCTTTAAGGGAAAGTACCTTAAAACCTTTGCAGGGATTTTTGAGCTTGCATTAGTCACGCCATCAACAACATTCTTCCATCTAGAAGTTCCACATACAGAGCAATTATCATTTTTCTCATTTTCATTCCAAAAAAGCATGCAATCCTTAGGGCACACATGTATGTTTTCATAATGAAGACCCAAGTTTTTTATCATATGTTTTGCCTTGTAAAAAGACTCGGGTAGCTTAGCAAATGGAAATGCCTCTTTTAACAAGACTAACAAGTCTGAAAAAGCCACATTACTCAAGCCATGAATGCATTTGATTAAGTACAATCGAATGGTGAAACTAAGTTTAGAAAAATTCTCACGCCCCAGATATAACTCTTGTTTTCCTTCCTACACTAATTTAATTTTTTTTTTTGCATCTTCAGATGGTCCCTCTCGCACACCTTCTTCATGGCTCATGTCACCTTCAACATTTCTAAAAGTGTCATGAAGTAGTCCATCAATATCATCACGCATGTTGGAACCTTCATCACCATTGCTTGGATGTGGATTATTTCTCGAGGAAATATTTTTCCCGTGGAAAATTCATTTGGTGTATCCTTGAATAAATCCATAACCAACCAAGTGATCCCCGACCACATTTCTAATACGCCAATAACAATTAGCACATTTTTTGCAAGGGCATAATATTTCATTACCTTGGGAAGCCCGTTCAAATGCCTTATCAAAAAAATCATTCACTCCGCGAATATACTCATCTGTGGATCTTTAGAGACCCATCCAACTTTTATCTCCATTATCCATTGAATATTATATCCCCTATGGGTCACAAATGCAAATCATAAAAATTAAGATCTAAATAACAAATTTTAGAAATTACTGGAGATACATAATTATATCACTTAATCTAAATCTTTCTCTATTGCACAAAAAGAAAGAGATGCAAACTATGACAATGATATTAATGGCGAGACCAACTAATGTTCTAAAGTAGCATATATGCTGAAAAGTTATATTCATTATCTCGTATATTTTGAAACAATCATGGTACTGTTCTCATCACACAACTATTCTGGCAGGTACAATCTCCTAAAAAGTAAAGCAAGCCAAGAACTTATTAGTTACCTAGAGAAATATTGTTTTTTTTCTAGATATTAAACCGCCTTTATAGAGCAGTAATATAAATCCTTTATTGTTATAACTCCACCTCTCTTTCGCTGCCATGTAACTCCTTGGTTTACTAATTATTAGCACCATGACATCCTACTTACTTAAATTGTAATTCCCATTTTGGATTTCAAAAGAGCTATTAGTGAACTTAAAAAAACACCAGCTATCTTATTACTACTTCAAATATTAAGAAATGAGGAGATTTTTTAATGTCAGAATTCTCTGTAAATTAGCAAGTAACTGTATTAATGATGAGGAAACCAAGATCTGATATGTTGGAACTTCTTCGGTTATTTGATGATGCAGGGGTTACATGGCTCCAGAATATGCAATGCGCGACTACTTAACTAGTAAAGCAGATATCTACAGCTATGGAGAAGTTGCATTGGGGATTGTTCGTGGGAAAAACGTACAAATTATAGGCCAGCGGAAGATTGTGTTTATCTTCTTGACTGGGTAACTCTTATTGTGCTTCCATCATCCTTAAAAATGACTTCCCCTTCTATTTTCATTTTCATGTAAACCAGAACATTTAGTAATGGAATGTCATTATTGTTCCACATATCAACTTGTACATTCAGACTCAAAGAACTCTCAAATTTTGCTTAACAAGTTATATTTTCCCAGTACATTAACTATTTTGAATTTTGATCTTTTTGGAATAGGCTTATGTTATGCAAGAGTGCGGGAGTATATTGGGATTGGTTGATCCAGACTTAGGTTCCAACTACTCAACACAAGAAGCAATGGTGGTACTAAATGTTGCACTTTCTTTTCAAATATTTCCAAATATTTCCACACTACCTAGTAATACAGATTTTCAAGAAACCTTTGTCATTCTAAATAGATATGAAAACCAAATTTTATAGCAAATATAACAGTAAATGCTAACTGTGAGCACGTGATTTTTGCTTCACGAAAATTACTCCAAAAGAAAAAAAATAATAATAAAGCAAAATTATCTTGGTGTGCAATTATTAGGATTTGCGTGACATTTTTGATAAATATTTGTGTTTTGCCCGTAAATGTTTACTTTGTTGTAGTTAATTGAAAAATACAAATATATATATATATGTTGCCTGCATTTAGGAATTAATGGTACATTAGTAATTAATTAACCATAAATTTGGTTAAAAGAAAACCACAAAAAATATGCATGTGTATTCTTCATTGTGTGATTTTATGCAGGTGTTAGATAATATATATGTAGTTTTATATAATTTTATTGGGATGTTGTTTAATTTTGATAATTAAAAGAAGAGATGGAAAATGG